ATGCTAACATCCTTAGACTCATATGTCTCCATACCCAACAGTTCTGCTGAGAGAGTGGAGCAAGCCCATTGAAAAAATGATTTTGTGTGTGTGTGTGTGTGTGTGTGTGTGTGTGTGTGTGTGTACGCCCATGCACGCATTTAGTCTTTTATGCTTCCAGAAGGCTTATCAAACCCTTTCCAGAAGAGAGCTGGCAAAGAATCGTGAAGACGAGAAACAATGGGAGGTATTTTGAAAGCTGGGACAGTATTGTGGAAGGATGTTGAGTCATGTTATATAAATGGTTGGTCATTGGAAGCTGCAGTTTAAAATTCCCAAATGAACCACAGACTGTAAGGTAGTGGTGGTGAGAAGCTCCTGAGATAGCCCCTGTTGTCCATCTGTATTTCTCTCTCTCTCTCTCTCTCTCTCTCTCTCTCTCTCTCTCTCTCTCTCATACTCTGTGTCCCAAATTCAAAAATGGGTAAGTCTGTGTCTATAGCTACCAAAAAGAAAGCAGGAATAGGGAGTGTGGAATTCAATGTGATGGTCTCACAATGTTCTTTATCTGCCCCCTTGGGAATGTTGCATTTTGACATAATAACAAATCTGTTTATGTTTGCAAAGGACTAGCTATGGATCCTGCTTCTGGAGGAAAACTCAGACAAGGATTTAATGAGTCTTCTAAAAAGAGTAACTCCTAGAGGCCAGGTAAGAGCAAAGCCATGTATATTCCAGTGCAGCTGGTCATAGAATGGTGTGTAGGACCCAGTGAGTGAACCTGTGAGGGAAGGGGCCTAGAGAAAGCAAGACCTGAGGGGGACTGGCAATGTATTCTCTTGAGGTCCAGGACACCCTCAGGTTTCATTCTTCAGGTACCAGCTGCCTCTTTCTTTTGAAGCAGTATTTCTCCCTGGCCTGGAACACAACAGGTAACTAAGCTAGGTGGCTATTGAACACCAGAGACACACTCATTTCTGCCTCCTCAGCACTGGGATTATAAACACACTTCACCATACCCGGCCTTAAAAGAAAGGAAAAACATAGGTTCTGAAGATTAAAACCGCATCTCTCGTGAGTGCAAAGCAAGCGCACTTTACTGAGCTTTTTTTTTTATATCTTGACTGGATAGGAAAGGGAATACTTCTTCCCTTTGACCTGGAAGCTATTGACTTTTCCATTTTATACAAATATACTTCCCCTTTTAAGAAGGCATCTCATGCTCACATCCATGGACTCCTACATCTCCATCCTTGATAGCTCTGCTGGGTGTGCACAATGATTTAACTTACGAGACAGGGTATGTCATGGTACGAAGGCTTGCATGGAGACTAAGCAATCACTCTTTGTGAGACTTCAAAATCTGGAGGCCCTGGTTACCTAACATTTTCCATGTAGACACTTAGGTAACGCTCATGTCCTTTCTTCTGTCCCCAGACTGGCTTCCTGTACCTCTGTGGCCTGGATGGTCGGGCAACCAGAAACACCTACCACAGAAGGCCAGAAATGTCTGTTCTCCTCTAGTATCCTTAGAATATTATTAGCTTCTGAGTTTATTTACTCCATTGACACTTTTCAAAAGTTATTAAATTTATCAGCCTATATCATAATGTCTGGTTTAAAGACCCAAAGATTTCCCTGAAGTGTCCTTAAAGCATTAAAGAACAAAAACATGTTTTTGATATTTATATCTTTTTATGAACTAGTCATTGGAGAACTACAGTTATCTGCTATAACATTAGATTTTAACATACTTCATTCTAGGTAAAAACCATGACATCCCAGTTTTGATATTTGTACCTATTAAACTATGATTAGTAATTATTCCTATTTATTTTTAACGCTATGAATTTTTAGATGTATTTAATGTGTGTGATGTGTTTTAAATTGTATGCCGTGTGTATATTCACCACATTCATGTGTAGTGCCTGCAAAAGTCACAAGAGAGTGTCTGATCTCCTGGAACTGGAGTTATAGACATTTGTGAGCCATCGTGTGGGTGCTAGGAACAGAACCCAGGTCCTCTCCGAGAACATCAAGTGGGCCATCTCTCCAGCCGCCCCCCATTCTTACTTTATATACTCCTCTATATGTATACAATATAGAACTGTCTGGGATAGGCTAGTCCACCAAACACTATCTGCTCCCATATATGTATACTCATTATTTATGTAGGCAGGGCTCAGATTGGTAGAGGTCTGTCTGTCTGCCTCCCAAGTGCTAGGATTGAAGATCTGTGTCACCGTGTACAGCCCTAGACTGTATTTCTGGGAGTTGGGGGGGGGGTGGGTTGAAGATTGAGAAAGAAGGCTCTAAAGCATTGGTTCTTGATGTCCCAATTCTGTGACCCTTTAATACAGTTCCTCATGTTGCCGTGACCCCCAACCATACATTATTTTCATTGCTACTTCATAACTGTAATTTTGACAGTCATGAATCATCATGTTAAAAAAAATCTGTGTTTGTTTGATGGTCTCTGTGTATCCCCACCACAGGTTGAGAACCACAGCTCTAAGGGCTTTGTATACATTCTCCTATCACAGCTAACCCTGAAACCTCCTATTCATGTTTTTATCAGAGCTTTGTTTACACAGTTGTGTTAGAGGTGAGTCAGTTCTTCCTTCTCTTTGGAGTCTTAAGTGTCAGGAAACATCCTTTTGCAGAGTTATTTACATTTAGTTCATACATTTTAGTTCAAGAACAAAGTCTTAACCAGGGACTTTAACAAGGAATATTAAGTTATGTTCTCTGTCAACATTTTAGCAAAAGAATCCCGGGCTACTCCCACTGCCGGTGCAGCACACTTAAATGCTAATGATCTGGGCCATGGGGACCAAATGCCATTGTTTCATGTACAGGAAAATCAAGTATTTTCTGCATCTGACCAAAGACTGCAGCAGACTATGTAAAGGTATTTGTGGAAGCGTCTGTGACCAGACCTTGGCTGAGGTTAGCTATTGTTTGGGGAGACTGCCTTCCCACCCAGAGGAAGGGGGGACTGTGGGAACTAAGATATCCCAGAGAAGTGAATTCGATCCTGTGAGGTTATCTCGCTGCCTCATTGTCCACTCTGGGTTAACTTACAGACCCTGGTCTCATGGCTGATCCCAAAGTATAAGCTTCCCAGTTACAGTCCCTGGATTCAGCCCAACCCCCACCTGGGGCTTCTTGACAAGCCTTTTTCCATGTACAAATGAACTCAAGGCTCCCCTAACTTTCACCCCCTCCTATTTAGAGTTCTCTCTCTCTCTCATACACACACACACTCACTCACTCACATGGGGGGGGAGAGGAGTGGGAGAGAGCTGTCATATCTAAGGATCTAGGGGGTATAATGTTTTCTGAAGAAATCCCAGTAAGTAATAAGTGACTTTCTAAGAGGTACCAGAAATCAATTGTAAACACTGTTGTGAAACTCAACCAGGGTAACATGGGAGAGATCACTCTGGTAGCTATACATCAGAAATAAAACATATGACACTGTAAGACTCAGTGCTGAGAATGTGACCAAAGCTTATAGATAAGAATTCTTAAGTCATAATTTACTCAAAAGTGGCAAAAGTTTTGATGGGTGCTGATGCTGAAAAGTAGTTTCTGAAGAGGTAATGACTAATGACCCAGAGGAGGCATGAGGAAGCCAGGAAGGTTTTCTATATCAATGGGAGTGTAGCTCGTGTTGATGCCGGTGTCGCTAAATGAAAAAACTCAAGCCGGAGTGCTAGATGCTTAACGTTTATTATATGTAGGATATATATGTTGGGAAAGACTTGTCTCAAGACGAAGCACAAAGTCTTCCAAGGTTAGGTTTTACACTTTCAAAATCGATTAACAAGATATCAAGTGGGAGAGAGTACAAGTACAGTTACATTGCAAAACAGGGTTTACACTTTCAAAATCGATTAACAAGGTATCACGAGGGAGATTACAAGTACAGTTACATTGCAAAAACACAATCCTCTTGGGATACAAACTAATGACTTAAACTAATCAACTACAGATACATTCTTCTATTGGTGACTACAAACAGCAATTCAGAACCCCAGCAGCTTGAGTAGTATTTTAAGCTGGGCAAAGAAGATTCTTATCTAATACACTTATTTTTTTTTAATTCCAGTATATTTTCTTAAATTCCTGATAAGAGCACAATGAGCATTAGAGTCAGCAAAACACTTTTTGATGGATGCCTAGATGATTTCACCACTTAACTTGGCTACAGGGTGATTTTTTTTTATTTTTTTTTATTTTTTTTCCTGTCAGATATAACTGACAAGCAGTTTTGTCTTTAAGATAAATGAAGTCATAACTCACATTTCAACAACATCACATGAAAAATATTGAAAACTACACTACAAATTCACTTTAAAATTGAAGAAATCGATAACTTCACAAGGAACTTCTACAAACTACAAAGTAGGCTACGAGAAGAGTAACTAAACTACATCCAACCCTAAAGGTGGACAAGTCCTTGAAACGAAACACGCTCACACACACACACACACACACACATACACACGCACAGCCTAGTTTATAAATGCCATACAAGGATTTACCCTCTTCTCTTAAAAACATCTTCCAAGGTGGAGAAATCCAAGCCTTTCCAACATGTCCTTCCTAGGCAGTGCTACACACAAAGTTACTTAGTTAACATTATCACAATTAAATTCAACACGATAAAACATTTACAAAATAGCAGCTGTCGTTTTGGATCTTGATCGTGATTTACACGATCATGAGGATATAATATGAGGATAATAATATGATAATAATATGATAATATTTGCAGTTCGACTACAGAGTATGCACGCGCTCACTAAATTTGGTACAAAGCATGAATACTAAGGATATATATTGGCACAATGCATGCAGTTAAGAGTATTCTTTTTCTCAAGCTAGTAATCGCGATTAAGCTAAAGCCCCAATCCTGTTTTCCAACGCTTCCCCTCAAACTGTAATGGATGTTTCAAACTGTAGCTGACTCTTAAAACATCTTCCACAAGGAAAATGCCTTCTTAAAAATCAGTTTATCTGAAAGCGTGGTGGAAATGGGGCAGTATAGCAGTGTTGGTGCCAGTCGTGAAAACGTGGGGGATAGGGGGTAGAGGGAGCTGGCCCATATTCACAGCGCCCATTGCTATTTGAGCTTCTTGTGGCTGCGGCTGCGGCAGC